GTTTTCATAATAGTCTTGAGGCAATAGATGATATCAGGATTGTCAGAATTTGAAGTTTGATGCCTTTCCTAAACAGCAAGTGTAAATTCTGCCATGAAGCTGTGGTTTCCATTATGTGTTCAGCTGATGTTAGGTTCACAGAAGTACTAGAATGTGCAACATGCTGTGAAGTCATAAGCTCCTTTAAGGAATAAGTTTCTCTGAAAATGAACTGTAACAATTAGCGATGAGTGTCTGGCTCTGTGTAGTGACTGGCACATAGCAGGTGCTCAATTAATGGTGTCTCTGTGTGTGTATGTGTTTGCACATAAATGTGGTCCAGTTATGTGTTTCTGAACTGGAAGAGCTGTCAGGTCCATAAAAGTCCACTTTAAAGTCAGCAGATTTTTATAGAGGTTTATTACGCATCAATCTCTATAATGGATATTTTGAGGAAGATCAGAAAAGCATAAAATATTATTTGGACTCCTGAAAAATCAAGGTCGGGCTGAAAAGACAGTCTCCTGGGGAACAAACAGACAATGTTATGAAACAATAAAATAATGATAATAATAATAATAATAATAAATTCTAGGTGATTTTATGCAGGCTGTGAGCACAATAGCTTCAGATTTGGGAGAAATAGCCAGTGGACATGGCAGTCGGAACATACAGTTTACCCTTGAAGGATGTTTATTATGTAGAAAGACAAGGGACAGCTGGCAGACGTCGGTGCCACCACCCCACGCTGGCCATCCTCGGGCTCAGTGGACCTAGAAGAACTGTTTTATTTGGCCTTCACGTTAGCATCTCCAAATGCCAAAGAGCGAATGAACCATCTAGAAGAAGGCAAACAAGCACATTTCCTCAAAGGATAGTGTTTCATGCATTAAATAAATGTAATCCCTTTGTCTAGTTTGGTATCAGTGTAGAAGGCCTGTCAATAATGAGTTAGCTGGGAGTTAATTGACTGCAGAGACTCTATTTTCAGTCTCTGTCTATTTTTTGAATTAATACACACAGTGGGTGATTCAGCAAAAGGATTTAAAAATACATTCTTCATAGAAAGATCCCATCAATTTGATGCCTTCATAATTCGCGAAGCGTAGATCCATAATAGCTCTATTTTCTCTTTAACTTTGGAAAATAAAAGATGCCATTAGTTTAAATTAGGCTTGTATGTGGAATAATCATGTATATCAACAAATATAGTTTGAATCAGATGCTGTTTAAGAGAATAAATGCCCGGAAGAATTGACTATTTCTTTAAAAAGAGTAATGTAAACTTTGTATTGACAAACTAAAGTAAAAGTATCCCTATTTTTATTATTTTCTTTACATTTCTACAGCATATCATCTGTATATCATATTGTGTGTTTACTACCCCAAGTCATCTCCTTCCATCACCATTTATCCCCCTTTCTTCGACCTCCCTCACCTCCCTTCCCTCTGGCAATCATTATATTGTTGTCTGTGTCCATGAGTCTTTCATTTTTTTCTTTGCTTTAAAGAGTTGATAGATGGCACATGAATTTATAAAAACCAGTTATGGAAAATCAAAATATAATAAGTGGGTAGTTATCATAGATTGGCTACTGTTTTATACGATACCCTTAAAATTAAATAAAATGTTGTTTGGGACCTGGTCCTGCTTGGAGACTGTGTGGGCACTCAGGATAGTTGCTGAGTATGTAGATATGATGCAAAGTTGTGTATTTTAAGGTTGAAAAGTGTCCTAACAATTCTGTGTTAGGTGCTTCTGACATTGACTACAGAAGGTACTAAATGCTAAGATGGAAAGACATGATATAAAGTGCGTTCACTTCATTTATTTGTTTCCCCGAAGAAGTTGAAACCCCCAAGGAAGTTGACTGCGGATAATGTTTGATCTCCTCTCGCTGGAGGAAATGAAAGCATAGGAGAGTGAATTGGATTTGTCTGAGAGCTTCTGGAGCCGGGGGGCACATGGGACCAGAGCTCTGGTGTCTATTTCCAGGCATCATTCAGTAATTTGGTCACATACTTTTCTCTGATATCAGATTTTGCTTTCCACTCATGGTTGGCATCAAGAAAAACTATGAACACTTAAGGTCTTAATCTAAACCCTAGGAAGGGGAAGTCTAAATAAGTAAAACCATTCAAGTTTAGGAATACCTTTTATTTCAGAAGTATTTTTTTCCCTTTAGGAGTGTGTAAAAAAGTATCTTTAATCTATTTAGAAGTTTTTACTCTAGCCTATTAGTATACTTGACCAAAACATCAGGAAGAGAAACTTAATATAATTCTTCACTGGGGTATTTTATTAGTGGTTTTTGTGTCATTAAAAAAAAAGTTGAAACTTATTTACCTACATCGGTTGTTGACTTTGCAGAGCATGGAGAATGCAACTCTGGTCACGCAGAAAGTACCTTTTTGTGGAGTGAGAGTGCAGACGTGGACTGGAACCAATGGCCCATTAAATACCTACTTTTGTTATTTAAATACCTGCTTTTGTTGTTTAAAGCATATTCTTGCTTTGCGAAATAATTGTTAATGCAGAATGTAACTGAGCCAAGGAATGAAATTCCTACACCTCCAGTCAGAGTAGAGGCTCCATCAAGCACTCCGAATTGTGTCCATAGTTTTGTGATTGTGTACTACTGGGAAGTCTTGCCTAGAGTGTAATTAGGAATCAGGAAATCAAGAATGGCATAATTTATTTTTTTTGGCGTGTGTCTGTATGATTTTTCTACTTTTAGTAGTATTGTAACTTTCTGGGAAACAATTGTTGGTTTTAGAAAAAAGTTGCTTGCTTAGATATCCACAAATGCTTTCCGCAAGAAGAAAATATTTTATTATAATTATTTTTTACTTATACTACATTTAAAGAAGAAGATATCTTTGCAATATTGATACAGTAGGACAATATGCACACTACAGGTTAAAAGTCTCATTGTGAAATGATATTCATGATAAGTTATAGTAATTTTTAATTTCCTCTTTAAAAGACAGGGCTAAATTTTAATTCAGAAGGTGCATATATAAAAATATTAGGAGTAGCTTTAGCGACTATTGTCGACTAAAGAGACTCTACAAATAGAATATTATTTTACTGGTTATTTTCCTTAAACAGAAACTCTTGGGATAAAATAGAGCTTAAAAAAGAGGCCACATGTGTTTTTTGGGGTGAAAGTTGAGGAGGTGAAGAATTTTGGAGAGAGTGGGCTTCTATAATTATAATATGAGGGGTTAGACACTTCAGTAGTCATAAACCAACACCAAAAAGCTTTGAACTTATGGGTATTTGTGTGATTAAGTATGGTGAGGACATAGTTAATGAAATCTCTAACATTAAAAATAACAATATAAACTATAGATGCAAATTATCTTGTCAGCAAATAACTTTACCTGCAAAATTTCTTAGTGGAAGATTTTGACTGCCAGGTGGTCATGATTTATGCTCCCATTTGGGACAGAAACTTTGCCCCCATTCATCTCTTACCCATCTTAGAGAATGCCAAAGACTGAAGACGTTTTTATATAGCAGACAACAGGAAGGAAGTCATTGCAAGAAGAACTAATATTTAATGAGCACTTATTCTATGCCAGCCACTGTTATCAGCACTTTTGGTAAACCCCATTCAATCCTCACAATGACCCTATGAGGTAGAGACAAGTATTATCATTCTTTAGATCTAAATACATGTATATAAATTTGAGTAAGTAACCTAAATCAATATTTAAAGTGGTTTTATATTATTATAGATGGTTAAATGATGCAAAGAACACATAAGGTTTAACCAACCAAATATACCAGAGTTGGACCCCCAGTCAAAACATCTAAAAAATAGAGGCAAAGGCATTTCCAGCACTATTCCATTATCAACACTAGAATTTTAGTAAAAGACCAACAAAATACTCTGAAGAATTAATCAAACAGTTAAAGGTGATTACAAATGTAAAAGAAACATTGGTGTTAGCGAACCCAGATCATTAATACGTGGAAAGTTTAGTATTTGTCATATATTTTTGCATTTAGAAACTCAGAATGAAAAGAAAACCTACCAAATATTTTGTGACAGGGGCTGCAATCTTGAACATAATGTGAGTTGTTAATAAGCCTGGCACTTAAATGTGCATTATAACTTCTTCATGTTATTATGTTGATTCAGAAGGATCTTTGGTGGAATCCTAAAGAGTAGGATTTTAGGAAATCAGCTTCTTTAGTCCCATCAGTTATACCTCATGCAAGGGACTCAAAGAGGTTGAGTTATATTCTTCATATAACCCATATATTTAAAACAAAGCCTAGAGTAGGTCGTCATATAACCCATATATTTAAACAAAGCCATGATTAAATAATGAATATATGGTAGACACTTTGTTGTAGATGAAGTACCATTGGATAATTTATTTATTTATATCAAGCATTTGTTGAATTTCTGTTATCTTTGGTGGCAGGCATTGAAAATACAAAACTCAGTCTTTATCCTCAATTAACTTACAACATAATATATTTTTAGTAGTAAACTAAGTAAATAAATACATTTATTTATTTCTATTTGCCCTAGGAGCCCTAATAGGATATCTCAACTTTTCAATTTATCGCTCTCCCAAATTCTGAAAGGTGATGATGACAGTTCTCCTTTTCACAGCTGGAGAAGTGTTTAACTGCTCAGGGTTGCAGCACTCGTGAGTGCCAGAGGTGGATGCAGGCCCTGGTCAGCCTGGCACCAGGGTCCGTGTTTTTTCCATGCATCCACAGGGTGTGAGATACTCTGATCACAGTCACACACTATCCCTTTTTGGCCACCTATGGCAGCCTGACAGGTTCAGTTTTGAGGGCTCTGCCCGTGATTACATAGGAAAACACGTTCTCGAATTACAGAGAACTGGTGGAAAAAGATCAGCCAGGTGTGAAATGGGAGTTCAGAGCTTTTCTCTTGGTTTATCCCTGCTCAGTTGTGTACACCTGTGTTCATTACAGTGCTTTACGTGTCTTATTGGGCTACGATAACTTTTTTTTTCTTTCTCTCTTTCAGGTATGGAAAAATTGTATCTACAAAGGCAATTCTTGACAAAAACACAAATCAGTGCAAAGGTATGTGTGAGGGCGTCTGTACCTTTAGCTCTGGCCAATGCTCCTCCCAGGTGGAGGTCAGGCACCTGCTGCACGGTGATCACCATGTACAGGACATGGCAAACCTCTAACAATGCCGAGGCTTTGATGAGTTGTATTTCTAGTAACATTGCTCATTAATTTTTTTCATTAACAAACAAAATGAAAATCACAAATTAGAGCAAGAACCAAATTGCTTCAGCATAAAACTAAATTACCTCTTAACAACTTTGGGTTGTCTGGTATGAATGATATCATCAGTGATGCAAATTGATTTCCTATATAGAAATGAGGAACTCTGGGGAAAACTTGCCCATGCAAAACACTTTTTAATTTATCTGTTTTTTAAAGCTTTGGCAACATTGGTTGACTAGGAATGAGTTTACTGATGGGCCCACCGTCTGAACTTCAGCTGTAAGCACCTCATGGGATCTCAGAGTTGGTATCTTATTAAGGCTTTTATGGGCGGGGGAGGGATATTTTTGAAGTTACTCGACTATATCTGTGGCTCATGTTTCTTCATGTCTTGGAATCCAATACTCTTAAGGGTTGCATTATATTATTTATGAGATCTATATGGTCTCTCTCACATGAGTCAGTTCTTATTGAAAAATGGGAATGCTTCCTGTAACGTGTTATTTGTTGTTTCTCTAATGCAATAATTTTTATAATACTGACATTAAGAAGTAGAATGGAGCCAAGATCATTCTAAACACTGCCCCTATCTCACATATCAATATAATATGCACAAGTTTTAGGAATGAATACTCATATACTACAATGTACCTTAACCTATTTGGGTTGTGGTAGTCCGATTCAATTCAGCATTTAAAAAAAAAAAAAAAACCACTCATGTTTCTTGTAAACTTGCAAATGAATTAAGTATTCAGGTTCTGCAAGGAAAAAATAATAAGACATGGTTTCTGTCACCTAATAACTCAATTTCTAGTTGAAATAGAAACCATCAAGAAAACCAAGAAACTAATAGTAATAAAATTATTAGGATCCGTATATCAACATAATATATGTGAGAGGTATCGGTAAAAGGGGTATCCACAAAATACTGTGGGTAGAGAATGTGGAGGTTCCTTTTAAGGGAACTAAGTTTATAAAGCAAAGGCACAATGACAGGCTTGAGAAAGTTTGATGTTTAGGAGAAAGAATTTCAGGATGTAATTGATTGGACCCACATATCTGGAAGAGAGAAATGCACAGGTAAGGATGCTGGTAGAAAGAAGCAAGGCGCCAAGGTTTTGGAGGCTTTAACTATTCCATGTCGTATAAGTTAACCTAAATCCTTTTGTCCAGACAGTCTCCTATCTTTTAATTCCTTATTTTTAAAATCAAGCATATTCATACACATAAAATGCTCTCTCTTCATACCTCTACTNATTTTGGAGGCTTTAACTAGTCCATGTCGTATAAGTTAACCTAAATCCTTTTGTCCAGACAGTCTCCTGTCTTTTAATTCCTTATTTTTAAAATCAGGCATATTCATACACATAAAATGCTCTCTCTTCATACCTCTACTAGGCTATGTCAAGTATTTCTTCCCAAATTCACCTTCTCAAGAAGTCCTCAGTAGACTCTTCCTATCCCATCTAACACTTCACAACACTACCTCGTTTGAGCACCGTCTGGAAGCAAAGGTCCTATGCTACCAAATCTCTCACGCTGTTGTGATTAGTTTGTGTCCGTATCTAGATTATAGACTAGGCTGGGTTTTGGTGGGAGAATCTATTGGCAAAGTATGGAGGAAACAGGGTGTTCAGAGTGGTTACCTAGATTCCAGAGGCCATTCTTTCTCTCTGGAGCCTTTGATGTTGCATCAATGGAAAGAACAGACGTGACCGGGTATCTGTCTTCTAAGCCTGTAAAATCGCGGAGGGCACCAAAGACATATATATGCACACGTTTCCCAGAGCCATCCTTTAAAAGTAAACATTAATAACTGAGAATATTTATTTATCAGTGTAGAATTATTGTTTTTACTGGTGTGAAGACATCAATTTTCACTTATCTGTGATTTCATAAATATATGGGAAATTGTATATAGTAATACATACTTTAAATAACATGTAAAATATAATAATGTGAAATAGACAAATATAATGTGATATGTTCAGTTTATTACAATTTATTTAAACTTGCAATAACATAATTAAAATCCTTTCAAATATAGGATTTCAAAAATACAGACTTTTTAAGAAACCCCCACTTAGGTTCTTCAAGGATTTTCCAATTAAATTCTATACCAAGAAAATTTCCAAATAATAATCTAAGTTTTCTTGGACATATTACGTCTCTACATATCTGTTTTCTCAACTGTCAGATGAGGTCATTTAAACCTATGATTAAAAACGTATTTTCAAAATTGCATGGAACCATGTTTGAAATGTGTCCGGCACATACATCAGGTGATTTTTTTCTATGGCCGTGGACTTGGGTTTCTTCTCATAGGAACCATATTGTCTAGAGCTCCTGCATATCTTATATAATTTAATGCAGTCCTGAGAACATATTAAGAGTTCAAGGAATGTGCATTTCATGAATTGACATGTGTTTATTGAGACCGGCTTTGTTAATAGTAAAAAGTGTAAGTACTTAAAGAACGTTCCTTTCACACATTTTGGTGTTGGCTATGTGATACCCTCCGGATTTTTTCTAGCCTGTAAACCTGATGTCTTTGAGGAAAAGCACATTCCGTCACAGTAGCAGGTGGTGGAATTCACTGTAATTGAGTTGGGTAGGTTCCGAAAACCAAATGCTGCTTTGTTCACCCTTTCTTATACTTTTTACTCTGTTGTTTTATAAGTTCAGAGGCAAAAGGAAACAAAAAAACCTGAAGATTTTTGATTTCTTGGTGTGTGAAACCACAGTGAAAATATATGTTGTTTAAGGTCGGATGAATTGTCATTTTGCTTGATGGCTGCCATCATTCTCATTGACTTATTTCTCGGTTATCATTTTGCTATTAAAATAGCTATTTTTTCTTTCATTTAGTAAAGAAATAAGAACTTCAGAGTACAAGAGAGAAAAACTCATGCACATGGCTAAAATAAGAAAGCCCTAATCCCCAAACTATAAAAACCTAAATTGAATCCAAAAGACGAATGTATCATTTGTTATGGTTCTGCAGGTGGCTGTAAGTGGGGTCAAATGTCTCTTTCGCTATAAAACACTGGTGATATCAAGTCCCTGTTTCATATGATCTTTTTAAAAACTCGTGTGGTTTTCTCCCTGTTGTGGAGTAAGAGAAAATAGCAACATTTGCATTTAATTTGTACTACATCTGTTAAGAAAAGGGCAGTTCATTGAAATTCCTAGGCATCTAGATAGACTTACTGGTCATTCTGCTCACATCAGCCCTGAGTTGGAGGAAATCTGTACTCATGAAATATCTTTGGAACACCCTTATGCCACTTTTCTCTTTTTTATTTATTTTTATTTTATTTAAGTATAGTTGGTATACAGTATTATATTAGTTTCAGGTATACAATATAATGATTCTACATTTATATACTTTACAATGTGATCATCTAAGTTCTCTGTAACTGTGAAAACATATTGCAATATCATCTTAATAATCCAGTCTCAAAAGACAAATATTGTATGATTCTACTTATATGAGGTACCTAGAGTAGTCAAGTTCATACAGACAAAAGGCAAAATGGTGTTTGCCAGGGTCTGAGAGTTTGGAGTGTGAGGAGTTTGAGTTTAATGGATACAGAGTTTCAATTTGGGGAGATGAAGTTCTGGAGATGGATGGGGGTGATGGTTGGACAACAGTGTGAATATATTTAATGCCACTGAACTATACACTTAATTGTTAGAATGATATATTTTGTTATTTTATCACAATAAAAAAGCAAACCAACAAACTCGCCAAAAAATAAGTGTAATAATGAAAATAAATACAGATATAATTTCTCTCTAGAAGAAATAAGAATCTTAAGCTGCAGCTATCACAGCTGTTCACATTCTCAGGACTTGTCCTCTATGGGAAAGCAGGGGCTGAAACAAAAGATTTTAGAGAAGCAACTGTTAACGAGCACACTAGGCTTCAGATTTGAGGGTGATTTGAAATATAAACACATTTGATATCGTACTAAATGAAATCAAGAGGCAAAATCCCATGAGAAATATACTATAAGGCACCTTGGAATTTATGTCTTTGGGGCACTGTTGTTAAAACAGATATTAAAGGGAAACTGAAGCTTTTTATTGAAGGAATGACTGAAAGAAACAAACTTTTTTTTTTCTGAAAAAGGGAATTATGTGGGGTAGAATTTAGAGCCTCATTTTAAAAAGCTATTAAAACACTGTGGTTAAAGAGTTTTTTAAGGATTCTCATGAGATACTTTTTATTTCAAGGGGTAAAAGTTCAGAAAATCTCTAATTTCATATGTAAGATATAAAGAAATTATGGCTAATACTACATCTTTTCATAGGGAAACAGGTGATGAAATTGAGAATGATTTGATTTGAGGCAAACTTTTTTACATTTTATTTTTCGAATAAAAATCATATGTATTTGATGTGTACAACATGATTTGACATACATATACATAGTAAATAATTACTACAATCAAGCCAATTAACATATCACCTCCTCACATAGACACCACTTTTGTATATGTAATGAGAGCACCTGCAATCTACTTTCTTGGAAAATCTCCAGGATTCAATGCTGTATTATTAGCTGATTTTTATGCTATGTATTAGATTTCTAAACATATTCATCCTACATAGATAGCAACATTGTACCCTTAAACCTACATCTACCCATTTCCCCTTCTTTTTTGCCTGTGATAATCACCTTTCTGCTCTCTGGTCCTATATATTTGACGTTTTTATGTTGCACATGTAAGTGATATCATGTGATTATTTTTTCTTTCTGTGTCTGACTTATTTGACTTAGCACAATGTCCTCCAGATTCATCCATGTTCTTACAAATGGCAGGATCTCCTTTTTTCAGGCT